GGGGGTGGGGTGGGGGCGGGCACGGCAGCACCACACACGTGCTGCAGGTGCCCTCCACTACAGGCAGGTCTTGGGTTTCTCACTGCAGGTGTTCAGGTACTCCCTCCAGAAGCTGGCATACACGGTGTCGCGGACCGGGCGGCAGGTGTTGGGGGAGCGCAGGCAGCGAGCCCCCAACTGAGGCCCCAGCTCCCAGCCCTGGGCGGCCGCATCATCAGGTGCTCCTGTGCATTTCCGCCAGCATGGGAGCCAGAGCCGCACAGGAATGGGGGGTCCCCTGTGCTCCCTCGCCAAAGGAGCACTTGGCAAGGTCAGTGAGGGGCCAGTAGGCCCCCTGGAGAAGTAGTACCGACAATGAAGACGATACCAGATCCCTTCCCAACCCTTTTGCCCCATCCCACTGAGGGGCAAGGTAAGGGAGGAGGGAGAATAGGGGGAGCAGATCCCTGAGATCTGGGCATAGGCACCACATTCTGATCTGGATCAAGTCGGGACAGTACCACCCAGCCCCGCAGCCACAGCCATACCAGCAGGCCCACTATGAAGATCCAGACACTACACCAGCCAGCAGAATGGACATTAGGACATCACCAGCCGAAGCCCTAAATCTCAGTGCAGCTGAAAAGGCATCAACTATGTGCTTGTGTGGCGGGACTCTGGAGGGGGTTAAGATGGGAGTAGGGCCCTCTCAATTGTCCCCTGCCTATGGCACGTGCATTCCAGCCTTGCTGCCTGTGCTTCCTCAGTTCCCCTTTCCCCCTTCACTGCCTCCCAAGCCCCAACCCCCAAAGAAATGTGTCACTTGATTCGGACCTATTCAACCAGTAAACAAAAGAACCCCACCTTTACTAAAATGCCTTCTCCAAGACCCCCCCCTCACTGATCTTGCTATTCCCTGGTCTCACGCAGTTGTGGTCAATATTGTGGTAATCGCTAATTGTACTGATTGTTAAGTGTGCATTAGTTGTGTCTCCCCAGCTAGATTGTAAGCTCCTGGAGGGCAGGGACCACCTCTACAAAAAATAAAAAACAGTACCTCCCCCATCTCGCACAGTGTCCCAGGACCCTGCGGGGTGGTGGAGGCGCACCAAAAAGTGTCTCTTGTGACTTCTTTTGCAACATTGACACACTTCTGAGACTGGGCTCATGTGCCCATTGTGGAGTAAGCACACCACAGGAGGTGGGGGGAGGAGCGAAGAAAAGGCGGGAATTGGAATAACGTGGGCTTCTCACACACCCGGACCCATCTCAACTGAACACTGTCCTGAGATAAAGGACTGTTCTCCCCCCCCCCCCAAAGGGCTAGGCGTCTTCACTTATGGTCCTGGGATAAAGGACCACAGCAGGAAATCACTATGGGAAAGCTGGGATGTGAGGAAAAAGGGTGGGAGTAGCCCTCAAAATAGGGACCAAGGGGGTGATTTCAGAGCAAGCTTCATTTCAGGTCTCCATTTAGGAGGCCCAAGGAAATGAGTGCTGGGGAGGGTAGACACTGGCCTGGGCAATGAGGAGAGGGTAAGAGGTGTGGTGTGGCAGCTCCTCCTCCATCTTAACACTTTAGGGCCCACAGCCACCAGGACTGACTGCTACAAGGGCAACCTGTCTGGCCTTGCGACTCTCCAAGATCTCCTGGCCCCGCCCTGCCCCATAACTGGGTTCTGTACTTTCCCCAGCATTAGCCTCCTTATTATGGAAACTGACTGGGTCCCTAGCCCCAGAATCTCCCCTGCCATCATGTCAGGGTGGGTGGTGGCTGCTCAGCTTCAGACTTCTCTCTCCTCTCCCACTCCTCAGTGAGTTGGGGATCTTCTTACATGGGGTCAAGTGACTCTCACCAAATGGCCCTGCCACCTGTTCAGCCTCATCTTGGCTTTATGTGTCCCTGTCACTACACACCTGTTCCTGGGTCAACACCAAGAGGGAGTTAGAGAGCCATAAATCTCTCTTCTGGCTGTTTCCTAAAATCCCTTAGTCACAGTTGTCACAAACACTTCTGGAGCACAAAGTACCTTGCCCCCTTGAGTCTGATCATGTTTCCTCCCACTAAGCAAGCCCCTTAAGTTTCTCAGCCCAGTCACCAGCACCTAAAAGTACCTACAGCTTCATTCAGCATCAGAGAATTGTAGGGGTAGGGGTACAGATCTTGGTTCTGGTCTTGGCTTTGCCATCAACAAACCTCTGTAAGAGGCCCTTTAAGATTCTAGTGAACCTGATATACTAGAAACATTCTGCTGTCCAAGTGGCAATTAGGACTTATCCGGACTTGGTTAGGATGTGCAATCTGAGACTCCATCTTCCTTAGGCTGGGCGGCTACAGCTGCTACCATAGCCTGAAGGTGAAGCAGGTCTTCTCCTGCCCCAGACTGACTCATCAGCAGGCAATGCCTGCAACCCCTCCCTTCTGAAGCCCAGATCTTGGCAGGCCTCAAGACTGGGAGTTTCTGTGGTTTTCCACAGTAAACCCACAGAACTATGGACATATTTCAACATATGTTCTCAATGAAGGATGACCCTCCCCTCAGAGTCTTTGAGGGGTGTTCCCACAACCCCACTGCTTCAGATGCTCTAACGTCAGCCCAAATTACAAGGTAGCTGAGTTCAGGGAGGCAGGCCAAAGCAGCACAGAAAAATCTGACTGCTCTGGACACAGTACTTCCTGTTACCACCCTTTAGAAGACAAGAGGCTGCTGGTAGTTCCAGAGCTTTCCAGATGATCTTGGCAAAGCCCCTTTCCTCCATCCATCAGCAGGGCTCTGAGCGTGGCATGGTGAGACGACAGACTTCCAGCCAAGGGCTGCCCTGGTGGCCTGCACCTGCATGGTTGGTCTTGAATGTGCAATGTCCATACCCCACTTTTGTTCTCTACCCTCAAACCCTCATGTTCTGGTAGCAAACTTAACCCACCAGAGTGACAGACGTTCACTTGCCATCCTATGCAATGCCTAGAAATCTAGTCTAAATATATCTTGTTTATAAAAATTTTTTCCACAAGCTATACCATTAAAATATTTTATTCTGAAAGAGAGCAACGGGAGGTGTTGAAAATGACTAGTGTTTTTATTGCAAAGCCCTCAATTGCAGCAATAAATGTCCCTTTTCTAAACCATCACTGCTCCCATAAGACTTTGCCCCAGAAAGCCAAGGACAGAACAAATGAGTTGTGAGGGGACTGGAATGGCATGTGGGATCTTGCAACAGATGGGACTCTTGAGACTAATCCCCAAGAAGGATGTTAGTTTCTTAGCCTAGCAACTTGAAGTTAAGTATGGAGGTGAGGGTGGGGTGTTAGGTACCACAGCTTTTAGAAGTGTGGGCTGCTATGTGATACTGTTGCCTCTATCTATGGAGTATTTGGATTTGACTGAGGGAAGAGATATCTCTTCTCCAGGCAGGGCAGGGGCAGGTTTCTTGAGCTTCTGCTGTAGGGCTAGCAACATCTTATTACACCTTGGTTGGATGGGGAGCAGGTTTGCTGTGAGCCATTTACTATTTTGAAACATGTTTTATCTCCTCGGGAGCCCAGACCCCAAAGGGAGATTCTGAATTTGCCCTTAGCTTTCCCCCCAGAGACTTGAACATGTGCACTCATGTACACACATAAAACGCTAGTCTAACCACAGGTCTTTTTCCCTGGTGACTTCTGACTTCCTCTATATGCCCCAGAGAAATACCGTCACCATGTTTTCTGGGAAGGATCCCATTTATACTCCCTTTTCTCCCACAATGCCCATACCCCAGTAGGATCCAGATTCCTGAGCATTCCCACAGCAGGAAGTCAGAGAGGGAGGCAACACATGGTCCTTGGTCTATCACCCAGTGACAGGCTTGAAATGGAATGCATGTGTTTCAAAGATAGGACAACAACAACAACAAAAAAAGACAGCCTAACCTAGATTCCTCTTTGAAACAACATATTACAGATAAAAGATTAAGCTGGTTTTGGCAGCAACTCTAACAAGACCAATTTCAGATATAAAATTGACTTGGCCATTGGAAATCAACCAGGCTGCCAGTGACCAATCTTTTGACAGATTTGTTCCACGTTGCTTAGTCTCTGATTTAAAACAAACAAGCAAACAAGAGCTAACACTTGGCATTAGCACTTAAGCTGGAACTTTTTTTTTTTTTTTTTTTTGGTGCCTGCTTTGGTGTTGCGTCCAGAAGGCTGATGGGATGGTTGAACCATGCCAGGCAGGGCAGAGAAGCTGTCCCCAACACACCAGTTCCCTGAAGGGGATAAAAGACGATCCGAACCTATAAACAGAAAGGCCGCAGTCTCCCAACGTTTAGCGTTGAAAAGGGAGGCCTGGAAGGAAACTAAAGAAGGGTTTGGAAGAAGGAAGGAAAAAGCTATACTGTTCCCCATCCCCCACTCTTCCATTCCAGGCCATTAGTGTGCCAGGCATTCCGTTCGTTCAGCTGCCCTTGAGGGCACACATATCAGAGGAAAGGGAACGGGTGTCTAGATCTGATGTAAAGTTAGAGTAAAAAGCGCCCGTCATTCGAAGCACAGCGTCAACCTATCACCCCCGCCCCCCAGACACGGAAGTGGGGACCCGGGGCTGGAGACCCTTTTTCTCCCCTCTCCCCCACGTCTTTTGATTTAAAAAATGCAACTTAAGTCGTGGCGATGGAGTGACAAGCCTCTCATAAGGTGGGCCCCCTGCTATGGGATCCGGAGCTTCAGAGGCGGTGGTCGCGCTCCTCAGCCCCGCGCCCTCCGGCTCTGCCTGCCTCATCCTGGAAAGGTGCTGACCTTCGAGGCCAGAAAGGGAACACAGGAGCCCAGTGACCCCACTCTTGGGCTGGGAAAGGACACCTAAGACCCAGGCTATGGCCAAGAAGGGGTATCACCTGACGCGGGACAGGGGTGCCCCCCCACCCCGGGAGCGTGCGGAAGGAAAATCCCAGTGAGGGAATCCGGCGACGCCTAAGGTGACCCAAAAGGGACAACATGGCGGCGAGGCCGCATCGAGGGCTTCTCATCCCGCCCCTAGCAGGCTGATTCCACGGTACCTGCAAACCCTGCCATGGCGCCGCCGCCACTGTCGCCGTAGCTGCCGCAGCCTGCTTCCACCTCTGCTTGCCTCCGACGCCGCAGGAAGCCGGGGAGACGCCCCCTTCGTCTTCTAGTCTAGCCGGCCGAGGACCCCTTCTGGCGTGGGCTGCCTATAAAGACGCCTGATCAAAAAGTCCAAGTTGAGGGCTACCTGTGCTCTATAGAGCCTTAATACCCGCCACAAACAACCCTTTGAAGACTTTTCACGTAGTTTTGCAAATGTCTGGGGGCGCTGAAGTCTTCAAACTCGAATAATTTCTAATCAGGCGCACCTGGGCAGCTCCGAATCACGGGTCCATAGTCCCCTAATGCATATGCAGCAGATTATGATCTTTACTCATTGAGTCCTCAGCGGGCGTAGCTTAGTCTGGTGTGGGCGAGTCCTGGCTCTTGACCTTCTGGGTAGATGGTCCGTAAACTCAGGGAAAACCTTCTCGTGGCTCGATGTCCACCCCCTCCTTTCATCAAGGTCCCAAGGCTCAGGCACGGAAAGATCCGGGTTCAGAACTAGGGGCCTGCCTTGGGTCAGATACCTGACTCCTCCCTTTGCCCTGTACTGAGGGCATGTCAGCTCATCTCTACTCTCAACTTCCTCACGTCTGAGGAAATGCCTGCCTCAGAGTTGTTTTGGGGGATTGAATGAGTCAGCGTATTCGTTTATTAGCTAATTAAGCACATTATTTGAGCGCTAAGTGCAATAGTAGTGCTAAAGGCAAGGGGGTAGAATGCGTGACCTCAAAGCACTGCCAATCTGATAATCGCTGGGCATTAATCATTTTAATCAAATCAATACATAGTTATGCATGATGGGAAATGCTGTGAGGGAAAGTAGAGTGTTTATGAGAAATTGATGGTGTCCTAATGTAGGGTGAGAGGTGAGGGTGTTGCCTCCTTGGGAAGATGGCATTCAGGCTAAGAAACTAAGGGCAATCGGGAGTTGTGCAGGGCAAAAAGTGAAGAGGGACAATATTCCAGGTAGAAAGAACAACTTGTTCCTGAGTGGAGGCAGGAAGGAGCAGAGTGAAGGTAAGAGGT